CAATATGCCCTCCGAAATTTGCTTGCTTGATACTTGTGTTTCTTCTGGCAGCTCCATCATGTAGGAGCCACCTTTTCTAAGACAATTGCTCCTGTAACCTATATGTGGCAACCACAGCAGTGTAGGAAAACTGATACAAAGGTCGATCATGCCGGTATATGTGGTGAACAACAGAAGATTGATGGATGTGCTTCTTCAAGACGGCTATGGGTTTGGATACATGCTGCTGCTTTCAGTGAAGGATATAATGCTTTGCTAAATGCTTGTGAAAGGCAGGTTGAGTAAAGAATCATGTGATGTTCATTTCTAATGTTATATATATAGTAGTCTCGCTGTTACTTTCTTCGGTCTCAAATGGTATAATAAAATGGTGATGGCTGAATACATATTCCTTTTTGATTATGAATGCATACAGTTTACTGAAGATGTGATTTATTTGCCTGTTCATTTTGCTGTATATCAGAAATAATGCTTCTTGGTTTTCAGGTAGATGCTGCTGGCTCCAGAGTTAGTTGCATTTCCCTTGAGGATCGTCTGGGGAAGTTGGAACTGATTGGATCAAGGGCATCTGAGCTTCTTCAAAAGCTTTTACATCCTGCAACCTGGTGATTTTTTTGAAGGGACAACCTTTCTATTTTGACTGATTTATGAACATGATTACTGAACGTCTTTGTTTTCTATGCAGTTCTTCAGTAAATTCTTCCCTGGTGAAGTATGCATCCTTCATTGAGAATGACGACCAAAACCTTTCTTCAGCAATCTTTTCTCTCTTTGTCAATGATCCTCGATTTTTGAATAAAGATACTATTGATCCTTTGGAAGCAAAGGGTCAAAATATACTATCTTACAGGAAAGATGAGAAGGGAATTCCAAAAAGGGACATGAAGTTACTCTCTTGCTCGTCCTTACAATGTGAAGGAAGTCCTGGCTTATCTGAGTGTATAGATCTCTGGGATGCTAAAGAAGGCTTTGACCCTCCAATAGAAGAAAACATCCTTTGCATGGAGAAACACCATCAGCGTATGAAGTTGTTTCGCGTTGGTGATGTGAAATCAGGCAGACAACAACCTTCTGTTGAGAGACGGTTTTCTAGTGTCTGCCCTATACTGCTTCTGAAAAGTGATAACCAGAAAACTTCTATTATAAGGTGAATCTCCATGCATAGTCTTTGGAAATGAACATGAGTCCTGATCTGTATTTACACATGGTTGCTCAATATACTCACTTGACTATATTACATATTGCATGTGCTGAAACTGGAATCTCATGCCATAAACACCTGTTCTCGAGTTTTGATGTCTTCAACCTTCCACTTGTGGCTAGGTTGATGTCATTATTTTCACACAATGTATTGTTCTACTTTCACATCTTTTTCTGGTTTAGTTTGTACGCTTAACTTTTGAAGAGAATACATATTTATATGCATCCACCTTAACGACACCACAATCTAATTACAAAAGAAAAAATGGTAACTGCACTTTCTATAGTTGATAGTGTAGGTAATTGTCCTATTGGTTTGTGCTAGTTTTTGGCTTTCTGCAGGTGTATCACGAAAGGTTATTAGTCAATAGAAACATAGTGTTTACTTCTTTGCTAATTACTTACCAGAAAGCTCAGTAGGGCTTAGCTAGACAAGCAACTGTCAGCCCTCAAATGTCAGGGGAGAGATCCTTACTAAAACATTCTCGATCCGTTTTCAAAGACAAAGCAAAAAGCATCTCTTATATTTCTACAAATAGAAATAAGAGAAAACAATTTTATAGAGAATAAGAAATGTGTAACATAAAATGCATATGCGTATGTGTCTTTGTGTCTGCCTCCTATCCCAGTTGTTTGTCTAGGTTGATTTTTCATGGAGATTAAAGAGAATAAAAATAAGTAGTTTTTATAATAGAGCTTGTAATAAATATGTTAAAATAATAATTATAGGAATTGAAAAGGGCATAAGATGTCACTTCAAATATGAAATATCACATTAACTTTTGGGAGATGGTATATTTGCAATTCTGGGGAAATCATGATTTATGATTGTGCTAGAACTTTATATTTGTGTAACATGTTACTCATTTCTCTCTCAAACTTTTCAATACCAAGAGCATAAAAATGAAATTTCACTATCAAGTATATAAGTTAATATTTTTCCTTTAATGTATTTTGATCGTACACTTCTGTTAAGGTTAGGTTTTCTTTCTTGAATAGCTATTTTTTGGTCTTCTACAACAATCTTGTCACATGTCTTTTGCTAGTCTAACCACTTGGGAGAATCAGCTTTCATAGTATTCACCTTTGATTCTTCCTCAATTCAATTACTTAAAAAAATGAGGCAATTAAACATCATGCTTTGATAGGGATATCATGTTCTTATATAGAGAATACCTCACTGTTCTTTTTAATCTCCCTTCAGATGGTCTATTATTCTTCCGCTGTGTTGGATTAAGGTCTTCTGGATCTCTCTGGTGACCAATGGTGCTCAAGCAATTGGTTTGAGAGAGAAGAACTGGATTGCTTGTGATGTTAGTATGCACGTTCTGCTTTCGTTCTGAATTTGAGTTTGACATCAATTTTAGATCCTAATATATGTGTTTCTCTTTGCAGCTTGGGTTGCCATGCTTTCCAAGGGAATTCCCTGATTGCAATGCACACTCTTGTTTTATGGTCTTGGAGGAAGCTGCTTATGATAAAAAATCTGAGCTCCGTTCTCCTCACACAAAGACTTGGAAAGTTCCTGTTTCATCTCCATGGGATAGTGTCCGCCTTGCTCTAGAAGGACTCAGTGGGGCAGGTCATGATCGGATGCAACATGAACAGCTTTCTCCAAACGATATGATAAAGAACTTAGAAATGAGTACTCCATACTCGAGAAGATGCATAACTGACTCAGAGGGTAGTCACAGTGCTCCATTCGAGGGATTCGTGGCAAGGACGTCTTATGTTCTGATTCAGTTTTTGGATGAGATTAGTGGTAGTCATCTACTTTTATTTCCCAAAGCGCTTCACAGGATAAAGTGCATATCCAAATTTATGAAGGACGAAAGAATATTCAACGAGGATATAGATAAGGGCATTTACCAGATAAATCAGGACCAGAAGCTGTGTTTGGTCAGAGTTATTCTGCATGCCCACAGAGAAGGTTCCTTCGAAGAAGGAGCAGTTGTTTGTGCACCTCAAATTGATGATGTAATGTTGTTCACAACCAGGTGACTATTATTATCCATTTTGTATTCAGTTATTTGCTCGCTTTATCCCATTTAATTATATTTATTTGCTCATTTTAAGAATTTTATCTGCAACACGATTGCCTTTTCATTACAATATGCATGACTAATCCTACTGCTAAATGATGATGCTTTGATAACAAATATCTTTGGCAGATCACTTAGGACATGTAATCTGCCAAAAATACGACTTCCATAAAACATCTGGATAGAACCTATCATCATTTAAAAACACATTCACGTACGAGGCTCTACTATTTGGCCGATCAGTAGATGCATTAGCTCTGTTCTATGATAATGCACCAAATTCTAAGCAAGAGGACACTTGGTATTGGAAGTTCTGATGGGGCAGAATCACGGTTCTTTTGTAAGCTTAATTTGTGGGCTTATTAGGATTGAGTCATTTTTCCTTTTCTCGAATAAGATGTTTACGTGGAACCATTTACCTAACGGATGGACAAAGTTATATCACCTTCACTAGCTAGTAGTTAGTATTTATATACATATAGTAGTTACACATGCTTAGTAGATTGCATACGATATCTTCTTTTTATTTTGGCCTGTGCTTTGCCATTCAACATGTCAGGAAATCCAGTAGCAATCTTGAAAACTCTGTTCAATTATTAGTAGGTTTGCATTTTGATGTTTAACAGGACTAATCTTACTTATGCTTGCCGAAAGTGTCTGACCGAAACTAATTTTAAATAGAAGTAAAGGGAGAGCTTAGAGGTGCTTCTTATTATCAAATGAACCTGTTTTTGAATTATGCAGATCAGAGATATCCAAAGGCGAACTTCAAGTACCCGAGTCCTTTGTAAGATCATGCTTCTCTCAACAAGCAACTGGTAAATGGGAATTTCAAGTACCTGAAGATCCTGCTGCCAAAGAATCTTATCGATTACCAATTGGCTTTATTACAACAGGATTTGTTCGAGGAAGGTTAGTAAACTAAACATTAATTCCCGATGTATTTGCATCCTAGCAATTATGACTTGTTCTTTCATTTGTCACTGAGTTCATCCGAATTTATCCTTCAGTAAGAAGCCTGTAGCAGTGGCTCTTTGCGAGGCTGTCTGTCTTGCTCATCTGAGAGAGGAACAGTGGAAAGCTATAAGCGTTAGGAAAAGAAAGAAGGAGATCTATGTCCTGGTTAGAAACTTAAGGTCCACAGCATATAGACTTGCACTTGCTTCTATCGTCCTCGAACAATGGGAAGATGATGTTGAATATATGTGATTATACAAGGGGTTCGCGATGGTTATTTACAGTATTTATGCAGAAAACTCTCCATGAAAAGAGACGAAAAAATTCCAATCTCATGTTTGGTATGTATTTTTTTTCATTAAGATTGTATTTATCCAAAGAGCAATTAGTCTTAGTTGAAACTCTGATGTGAGACTCTGCTACATTGTATTTGGTTTAGTTTTTCTGTAGATTTTGTTACTCTATAAAGGAAATTTGTTAATGAGACAACTTAAACTATGTTTTTTCATTCTTCTCTACATTTTTTTTCCTGAAAATATATCGTTTAACGTGTGATAGCAGGTTAGTCACCATTTTTACGAGGTTACCAATTATGTTTTACTTATCATTGACGTGCTATTTAACTTGACTTCTATGCTTTTCAACTTTGGGTGTGCATAAGTAGACACTTAAATTTATATAAAGTTGAACAGGTAGACATGTGTTCTACGTGACAATCATATACGTGTTATTGGCATTTGTCTATGTTGTTTGACAACGAAAGAATATAAAAATTTAGTAAGTTTATATAATAAAACCATAAATATTACAAAAATAAAAATAAAGTTGAACTTGAAAGTAAAATTTCATTCCTCGAGCTTTTCAAGAATGATGCTCAAGATCGTTAGATCAGACATACACACGTCTAACATTTTTGAAGAATCCGACCACAATCGTTACAAATAGCTAAGAAAAGGTTGGAGTTCAATTTTTGTATTTGAATGATCCCATTCCAAAGATTCCCACCACTCTTTTTCACTCGAATTTATAGCAATCTCTTTAAGTGTAGAGGGAATTTTGAGTTCATCTTCATGTGAAAAAAACAAAGGCAAATTCCTTAACTTAACACATCCCTTTATTGACACTTTCTTTATTGAATTGCACTTCATTTTTCCATTGTATATACTTTTCAATTGTGGCAAAGACCATAAGGTCATTCTTGTCATTTTAGGAAAGACGACGATTCCATCATTTTCGTGATCTTCAATTATTTCTTCGATTTGACTACATGATAGGACATATATCCTCTCGAGATGTCTCAGGTTTGAGCATAGATCAATTGGAAGTAGCTTCTTGATGTTGTGACATCTTTCGATACGTATCATTCTAAGGAAGGAAAAAGTACCAACTAGAGGGATTGAAGGACTCAAACTTGTTTCACATTCATCAAAAATACCAATGAAACTAGGCAATTCGAAGAGATCAAGATGCTCGAGAGAGGGTAATAAGACGGATTCTTGCCCTTGTTTTACCTTCATAAGGTACTCGAGCTTGTTGCACCAACGAACTTTGAAGTACTTCAAATCTTTTGAATCGTATAGACATGACAAGAACTCGGAAAGACAAGTACTAAAGTTGTTGCAACTCTCGATTTTCAAGTGTTGAATGTCTTGTGGAAGCAATAGTACTTCATCTTCTTTACCAAGTCCATAACACTTGACTAGTTTATCTGAAATTCTTCCATGATTGAACTCGATTTGTGTCATTTGTCCTAAACCATCGTAGTCACCTACTAGAATCCTGTAGAACGCGAGGCATCCCTCGTTCTCTTGAGCTTTGATGAACCGGTTGAAGTCATGAATAGTAGAGAACCTACCTTGAAACTCTTCCAACTCGTTTAACACCTCTAGTTCCTCACCTTGCACGTCTATATGGTGCGATAACACTAGACGTTGTAGAGTTGAGAGTTGTGGCAATATACCTATTGGTACCCTCTCTAGCCAACGCATTGCATACATACTCAGGCATTTGAGGCTCAATAGAGCCTCGAGGGATTCAGGCAAAGTCTGAATCCCAGTGCCACTCAAGTCCAACTCTTGCAATGACTCGAGCTTTGCCAGAGTTGGAATTGACCTTAGATTCCAACAAAATGCAAGTAAGAGCGCGGTGAGATTCTCCAACTCGGATACTGAATCAGGCAACTTCTCAATGCAAGTGTGGCTTAAATCAAGCACACGTAACGCCTTCATGTGCTCGAAGAAAGAATCTGGAATCTTCCATAAGTGATAATTCTGCTGCAACATCAATGTTGTTAGCCTTGGACACTTAGCTGATGTGCCTTCTGGTATTTCAGCTATCTTGTTCCTCATTAGAGATACCTGCAATTCGAAACAAAATCATAAAAAACCGAGATCTATCTATCTCATCAAGTTCTAACAAGTTACGTTGCTCAGACTCTTCAAACATGTCAATTAGCATGTGTCTGATCCTAATACGTGTGCAACAACATGTTTGAAGAGTTCGAGCAACATAGTATATCTACGTAACAATACCTTGTCCAAATTTTCGATCCATTCATTCTGTTCTGGTGCATCATGAAGCTGAACTCCAGCTCTAACCATAAACATAGGATTCTCATTAGTGATTTTCAATGCCATATCTCGAATCAAGCTATGCATTTTCACAGTATGATTTACGCCACTTTCCAACAAACAAACGCCTTCCAATCTGTTCAGTATTTCATATCCCTCTTCAAATTCTGCCTCACGACTCTCTTGTTCATCGATAAGTCCCTCTAGAACAAATCGACTTATCAAATGATCTTTCGAGATATTCTCATTTCCTGGATACAAACAACAGTACAAGAAACATTGCTGTAACTTTTCATCCTTCAATGAATCAAAACTATACAACAACATCTTCATAACATCATCATTGTTCTCCTCTTTACATGATTCATCGAACGCCTTTCTCCATTCATCAACGTTACTCAATTCCAACTCTCTAACCTTTGCAGCTAATGCAACAATCCCAAATGGAAGTCCTTTAGTACATTCATTCACCATAACCTTAGCGATCCCTTCAACTTCACGCGGAACAATCATCTCATTCCCGAGTTTTTCTACAAACAAACTCCAACACTCCTCCGCTTCAAGTGTTTTCACTCTGAACTCCCTTTGACATCCCATTTTTCGACATGTTTCGAGTAAACAACTTGTTACTATCAACCTTCCACCTTCAATTTTTAGAGGATTACCCAACATTTTCAAAGGTACATTCTCTAACACATCATCTAGTACTAAAACAAAATCCTTTTTCACTTTGAACGATTCGTGTAACGCGATTGCCCTCTTTTCATCATCATGTTCCTCTATAAGATCAAATCCAAGTGATTTAGCTATATCATTTTGTAACACTTTGATGTTACATTGTTGAGAAACATTAATCCAAATAACTTGGGAATTAGTCTTTTGTTCAACAAGGTGATTGATGAGTTTAGCTAAGGTTGTTTTTCCAACACCTTTAACTCCATATATACCAATACTTGTAATTACTTTGTCTTTCTTTAAACATCTCCAAATTCTTTCACATGTTCTTTTTGTTTCTTCACCAAATAACTTTGTCGGAAAAAATGACTCTCTTGCTTCCATTTTTCTCTTCTTCTCCTAGTAAAAATCAAAGAAACAAGATCAATCACTTTTCACAGTTCGATGCACTAAGTTTTCGTTATGTATGGGGTTTAAAAAAGAGCTGGACCACACAACGAAGCTGACTGACGTGTCTGCAGCAAGTGCTGAGTTGATGAAGAAGGAAGCTGACGATAGGAACAGGTCCAACAAAGCTGACTGGCGAGTTTACAGCACTTGCTGCAGACACGTCAGCCAGCTTCGTTGGACATGTTTCTTTGACATGTCCTAATGGTCAATTTCCTTCTTCATCAACAGTACTCCTAGTAAAAATCAAGAAACAAGATCAATCACTTTTTACAGTTCGATGCACTAAGTTTCCGTTATGTATGGAGATACGGAGAAGGGTTGGACCACACAAGGGTTCATTGTACTTAACATTCTGACTATTTCCACACCTCGAGCTCATGACTGTACGGTCACATGACAATAATTTTACCAGTTATATAAATAAGGAAAGGACATTTTTATGAAGTACAAAGAGATCTTATAAGTTGAGTTTTAAGACAAATATAGGAAGTGTTTAAATATAACAGTTATTGGTGGATTTCTTCCACATCAACAAATTATTTCAATAAATATTTAAATTTTCTTACTCCAAAGTTCAAATAACTTGTTCTAATCAATATTTCGATACTTATATGAAGCACTAAAATGGAATTTCGATGGATAAAGTATTTCACGTTTACACGGGATTTAAGGAAGGATTGAACCCTTAATACAAGCATTAGTCCATGGCTCAAACCTATTGCCACATCATTTTTAGACTAAATCCTCCTTTTTATATTACTAAAATAGTTTATTCTCAAAATGGACTTTCCTAACGTTAATTTATCGTATTAATCGAATTCCGAAATAGATACTGAACATCATGTGAAAAAAACATTTGGGGTATAGCTTCAACGCCCTATTAGTAATTCATCTATCAAGTCAAGCAAAGTGAGTGGAATCTAAAATTTTATCATTAAATAGATATAAATAGTTGTAACATTAATTACCATCAAACAGGGCGGCATATTAAGATAAAAAAGACAAGAAATAAATATAACAAAACGAAACTTTACGACAACAACATAACATACCAAGGAAAAAAGGCAAGAAATTAATACAACAAAACAAAACTTTAGGACAACAACAACATAACATACCAAGGAAAAAAAGTAAGAAATTAATATAACAAAATAAAACTTTACGACAACAACATAACATACCAAGGAAAAAAAGAAAAAAATTAAAACAAAACAAAACTTTACGACAACAACGTAACATACCAAAGAAAAAAGCAAGTAATAAATATAATAAAACAAAACTTTACGACAGCAACACAACAAAAATGATATTTAAACCATCTTGTAGTAAATATTAAAAGTTGCTAAGGTAAGATAAAGAAAAAGTAAAAGAGAGAGCACCATACCTTAGAAGACTTTATTTTCTCTTTAATTCAAATATGAATTCAGATATTTCTTGAGATGTCATTATTTTTGTAAAAATTAGCCAAACGCAAATTATATAGAAAAAAAAATACTACGAAATAAATGGAAAAAATATTCGTTAAGAAAAGAGTTCAAGACCAATGATGTTTTTTTTTAAGCTTTTGAAAGAGAATGAAAATGAATTAATATAAATCATGAAGCAAATAACATTAGTTATAAATAAATGTTTTTGATAAAATGCTTACCACTAAAATCAAGTAGAAAATACTAAGTCAAATATGCTTAATAAAATTATTATTATAATTACATTTTTTAATTACATGATAAAATAATATTTCATATATATATATATATATATATAT